CATACAGACAGATAAATAAATAAATAACTGCTGTAATGGTTGCAATACTGAATGAGGAGCAAGGAATCCCAAATTCATGGCAGTCCACCTTGTGCCATAGAAAATCCTAGTGTGACTTGGGGGCAGTCCCTGTTTCCCTGGATTGTTGTTAGTGGAAGAAGAAAGGAATGGAAAGAGGAGTGCTTTGACATTGGCAAGACATTGACGTTGATAAGACATCGACATGGACATTAAGATGACACTGACGTGACATTGATATCAACATTGACATGACGTTGACATTGATATTACATTGACACTACATTGATATTAGCATGACATTGACATCAATATTGACTCGACATTAATGGGACACTGACATGACATTGACATCAACATCAATATTACATTGACATTAACATTGACTTGACATTAGCATGACATTGACATCAACATAGACTTGACATTAACGAGACATTGACAACATTGACTTGACATTAATGAGACACTGACATCAACATTGCCTTGACATTGACATCAACATTGCTTTGATATTAACACTGACATGACATTGACATGACATTGACATTGACATCAACATTGACTTGTCATTGACATCAACATTGACTTGATATTAACATTGACCTGACAGTAACCTGACGTTGACATGACATTGATCTTGGAAGATAGCTAGACAGCTAGACAGACAAACAGACAGACAGATAGCTAAATTGGATGTTGTTGAATTTCGGGAGGAGAGATAGGCCATCAATCTAAGAAATAAATGATAAATAATAATCATGGTGTCACCACTCTAGAACAGGAGAACTGTATACCGCTAGGGAAAAAAAGTCACTGATGATGCAGTGTAATCACACACAGGCAATTACATAAACTAATTTCAGATAATTTCTCACTCCACAATTAACCAGCAGAACAACTTGCCTCCAGAAGTTGTGGGCACTCCATCAGTGGAGGTTTTTAAGAAGAGACTGGACAGCCACTTGTCTGAAACAGTATAGGGTCTCCTTCTTGAGGACTTTTCCAACTCTGTTATTCTGGATATTCCAGTGTGGTGGGATTGGAGTAGGATTGGAACAGGTTCATCTACCTGTTGAGGTGCTTGGAACAGAGGTTGGGGCAATAGCATGTCCGTTAGTGACCACTGGTTTAATTTAGGATTACAGCTGGGAATAATATGTCTCTCTCTCTCTCTCTCTTTTTTAAACTTGGCCTGTATTTTTCAGGTTGTAGGCCAGGGGTCCCAGGCCGCGGCATGCCAGCAACCGGTCTGCACAAACAAGCAAAGCCCCATCTGCGGGATACAGGCAGCACACAAAACCACATCCCCTCCAGTCCACGGAAAAACCTCTCTCCACGGAACCGATCCCTGGTGCCCCAAAAGTTGAGGACCTCTGTTGCAGCCTACCCAGAGTCTGCCGACTATCTAAATTTGATAAATAAATAAAATAAAAATGAAAAACAAACAAGTGAAACAGTGCCTCCTTCCCCCAATAATGGGTAAAAAAAATACAGCCACCTTCAACAAGACCTCTTGATACCTCGCTAATGGAGTTACATCCGTGCAAAGGGGTGAAACTCAAGAGAAGTTGGGTTGCTGGTTGCAAACTGGCTTGTTTGCTTTCCTTCTTCTTTCTCTTATCCAGCAGTGAGAAAGGGAAGTTGGGAGAAGAACATAACTGGTTGGTAGATCTGAATGATGGGGAAAACCTATCACTGGTTCTCCAAGAAGACTAAATCAGGTTTTGTGGCTTGTTCCTATTGGGAGTCAGAAGGTAGGTAAATAGAGTCAGATTTGCTTAAAATGCAGCGAGACAACTAAAAAAAATCCCAAGGCTGTAGGAAAAATTTCAGAAAGCAACAGGGCCAAATCAATTCCATACAGTTTCCGAGGAGGTGTGTATGAAATTTCCGGGAATCAAGATCGACTTGAAGGAAAATATTTTCCTTTGCCTACTAGTAACCATGGGACAGATCTGCATTCAATGCAAACTCTTGCAAGTTTAGATTGCTGTAAAACATAACAAGATGAAAGAGTCATTATTCATATGTAGTAATTCTCACTTATTTTATGTGTGGTGATTTTTGCCAAGGCAGTAGGATTTGTTTCCTGGAGATGGCAAACTTTCGTGGCATTACTCATAAAATTCAACCCACTTTCATTGCCTCAGTGCTCTATGTTTCTATTTTATATTACCTGAAACAGAAATTGTTCAATTACTTGGTTAACTTGCTGAATTCTGACCTGAGACCATAATAAAGTACTACTACTATTACTACTACTACTAGAATATTTAATGACTCTAAGTGTCAGGCTGAGCGACAAAGAATGGAGGCCTTTGAACTATGGTGCTGGAGAAGACTCCTGCGAGTCCCCTGGACTGCAAGGCGATCAAACCGGTCAGTCCTAGAGGAGATCAACCCTGACTGCTCTTTAGAAGGCCAGATCCTGAAGTTGAAACTCAAGTACTTTGGCCACCTAATGAGAAGGAAGGACTCACTGGAGAAGAG